CTTATATAACGTCGCTTTTACGGGTACCTCATTCGTGCTCCCCGTGGTAGTACTGCTATTTGCATTCTACGCCGTGGGTGTCGAAGAGAAGGCCGGCTATATTCGCATCCTCATCGGAGGCTTGCTCACTGGTAGTTCTGTCTGCGGTATGCACTACATCGGTCAACTCGGAATCTCGAATTACAGATGCTCCTATCACGTCGCCAATGTTGTGGGCTCGGCGATCATTGCTATTTTCTCCAGTACTGCCGCCCTAGGCATCTTCTTCCGCTGGAGGGCTACTTGGACTGACAGCTGGTGGAGACGAGGAATCTGTGCTTGCTTATTGGCGGTTGCTGTCTCTGGCATGCATTGGACCGCGGCCGTTGGAACTGTCTACAAGGATCACAACCGCATGGCCATGAAGGGAACCCAGTTGTCGAGGAGTCAGGTTGTCATTGTCTGCACTGTTCTGGTATGTTTGTGATTTCTTCGAAAGTCTCGGGGATTGGAAACTGACAGCTCTCTAGGCCTGTGTTGCATGTGTAGTGTTGTCGATGTGCGCTGTTATCGCTGGGCGAAATCGCAGAAAGTCGACGACTCGTGCCCATCAGCTTGTCCTTGCCTGTGCCTACTTTGATCCCACTGGACGAATCATGGTTACAACGCAGGCTCTGCTTCCTACAAGGAAGATTGTTGATCATTATATCGGACGGGTATGTCCCTGAGCCACCGGATATAGCAGAAGTCTTGACTAACAAATTACGAACTAGACATTCAAAGATGACGACCTCACCCGTACCCACCCTACGTTCCTGTGGGCATTTAGGGCAACTCGAAATTGGCCAGTTGTGAAAGACCTAGTACCCTTCATGCGAAACCGCCTGAATTCTGAAGAAAGTGCCATCGAGAAACACATGCTATCGCGAGGAGTGTTTATGGACAAGGATACGGAGTTGCAAACTGATTTTGATACCTTGTTCAAGCAACTCTTCTGTGTCACAGCCCAAGAGCTCTCGGATGAACTGAATCTGCCTCTCCAGGACCTAGGTACACTCTACGACGATGTTCTCTCTACTGCTATCCCCGTCTCCCGACTTTCTCGAGCCATGGGCCGCTCTTCACTCCGCACTGGCAAGGGCCAATTGATGTTCACTGTTCGCCAGCTGCAAAAACATGAAGCAGCACGCCTGAGGTCACAGGGATTCCGATTCGCAACCATCGAGCATGTCACAGGAATGCTTTCCCGACGCATCCATGTTCCCGAAGCAAACCTAGCCAACTCCCTCCGCGATATGCGCGACTACGCAAGCTCGAATCGTGGATTTGACGAAGGAGTACACCTCATATCCTTCATGATGCGCCCAACGATCCACGATCACTTCGAGATCCTCACCGCAAAGGGTGTCGGCAACCCCCTCCCATCCGCAACCCTCCCAATCAAACACCTCGAAATCCAGCATCTAGAACTCATATCCCACATGGAAGGCTGGTCCATGGACACATGCATGCGATACCTCCAGTCAGCCAGCGCAGGGCAAGCCTTCCCCAACCTAGAAGACTTCCGCGCCGAGTTCATCCAGGCCATCATTTCTCTCTCGAAAACCATCCCAGGAGACCTGCGCGCAGCAGCGCAACTTTCCGCTCGCCCATTATCAGCCCCCTGCCGCAGCAGATCCCCCAACCCCGAAATAGCCGTACAGAAAACCTGCACCCTCATTACCTTCTGCGTCGTCGGCACGCTCGACACTCAAGTCTCCAACCCAGACTATACCTTCACACCCTTCCGTCTCTTCCGCGTCCAGCAACAAATAAACGAAGCCCTCACCGACCGTGACGATTTCGCCCGCGAACTAGGCGACGAACTCTTCTGCACAGACGTGCGCTCGGGCTCGACCACCAGCGAGAGCCCTTCCACGGCTAAACTGGCCATCTTGCGTCTTTGGCCGTCGCGCAAGCGCTCAGCGACCTTGAGCTCGCAATACTCCCAGGAGTCGTTTGCGGATCCTACTGCGACTGCGTTGCGGGATATCACTGTTCGCAGGGAGGTTCGTGTGGATTTTACCCACCTCCATGAGAAATCAAACCATAATGTCAGTGCCCGGGAAACGAAGGTGGTTGTTACCGGCGGTGGCGAGAATGCGCCTACGACTTATGTCGATGAGTTGTATAGTCTTTGCTATGCACCGGGTATCCGGATGAGGCCTGATGCGTCGTTGCAGAATATTTCGCGTGGATCGACTGCATGCTGATGACTTTTATTTATGGTTTGGTTTCTTTTGCGTTATGGCTGGCGTGAGGTGGAATGTATACAGGAATTGGGACTGGTGTTTTATGATTTGTTATGTCTATGCTTCTTGTGGGATGGTTTAGGATTGTATATAACTTTCTTTTTCTGACGAGTATATAGATGATATCAATACAAACGCATTCGTATTTCATATGTATTTCAGCTTTTTCAAAAGTCTTATTATCAATAAACAGCCAAAATAGTATTTGTCAACACATGAGATGAACTCTAGTAGGTCACAGAGAAAAAGCAGTATATCGTCACACATCAAGAATAGACTCGTTAACCAATACATGCAAGAGATGTCATGTACTCATTACTTCGCACCTGCCGAGAGCGAGTCAAGAACAAATGCAATCTGAAAAGAAGCACCGGCCAATCAATTGAAGATCCTCCAATCCAATGCCCATATACTATAGAGCACAGATCCCACGGATCAAGCATTAATTAGCATTAGGATCCTCGCGTTCCAAAAAAGAAGGATCTGCCTCAATGCGGCGCTCGAACTTCGCCCACCAATTCTGGAAGCTCTTCAGCGGCACGACATCCTGACCATTTTCATTCTCCGCAAAGCTAGCGAGGAAATTAAACGCGTTTCCAATAATGCGCTGCGCCAGCAGCTTCGTTGAGATCTGCTTCTGCGCCGGAGATTGCGAAACCAACGCCATAGACGTTCCACCCGATGGGCGCTCCGATTCCAGGGAGGCAAGCTGCGGCGCGATATTCTGCGCTTCTTCGATCGAAATGCCCAGTGTCATGACGCCCGTTACAGCAGTGTCCTCGTCGAGCATGTCATCTTCTTCCTCGGCTTCCGAGCGGCGGGGAGCACGACCCTGTGGACGCACGGTGAAGATGCCCGAGGGCTTTTCGTTTGCCAATGCGCCCACGAAGCGGAAGTCTGAGGGTTCGCCGGTGGTCGGGTCTGGGAGTTGGGCGTAGATTGCGGCGCCGGTGTTTGGTGGGAGGGTTGCTCCTGGTAGCATAAAGACGACTATGTCGCTGAGAGATGCACTGATTGGGATTGTGAAGGCAAATTTGGTTGCTTGCCCGTTCAAATGGCTGTCTACTGCAATGATGTCTGTTAGACACGGGCGGCCTGGGACCACGACGGAGAACATGATGTGTGGTGGTATGGTTTGGACGAGCTGGAGGCAGCTTGAGTAGCTGGTAAAGCGGAAATTGGCAAGGTGAACTGCGATCAATATTACTTCAGTTCTTGAAGCTTCTTTAAGCTTCTCGATGATGAAATGACATAAGAGGGGCTGCCCTTATCGGCCGGTCGATAAGGGTTTGGCTTGGCTAAACAAAGGTCTGGTATTCAGTATATCGATTTTCGACTTTACCTTGCCATCGGGTTCAGCTTCTGTGTTCAGAAGTCATTATGGGCAAATCCAATTTAGACCTGGTCGGCGAATGCGATAAGTAAAGCTGTCCCAACTCGATTTCTCTCTCCAGTCGCGTTTTCTCTTACACCCCACCCCGCAGCTTCCCCTACTACGAGGATGATCGCGACGCCTACACTCAGAACCTGAAGAACTATCATGCATTCAAAGTATCCGGATACGACTGTACGCTCGGCTACATCCTCAATGCAGTCGTTGAGAAATTTCCCTGGTCGGAAAAGAGCTGGGCCATCGACTCGACCGCGCAGACCGTGACGCTAGTGACCCCGGAGGGAGCCAACCCCGCACACCGGAGCAAGCTCGTCGCAGCAGACATAGCCGAAGCCGTGAAACAAAACAAGTTCGAAGTGCTGCAAGGCTGGCGCAACGAGACCTACGCAGTCTACGGCCCGGGCGGAGAATTCCTACTCGAGATGGAGCGCGCCGCGACCCCACTCTTCGGCATCGTATCCTACGGCGCCCATCTTACGGGCTACGTGCAGGATGAATCCGGTATCAAGATCTGGGTCCCGCGCCGCGCAAAGAACAAGCAGACCTACCCAAGTCTCCTTGATAACACCGTCGCCGGCGGTATGTGCACCGGTGAGACGCCGTTTGAGTGTATTGTCCGCGAAGCTATGGAAGAGGCATCCTTGCCCGAGTCGGTGGTACGCGCTGCGACTGTCTCCGTGGGCTGTGTTACGTACTCGCATGTACGGGATGTACGAGCGGGCGGCGAGACGGGCCTCATTCAGCCTGAGGTTGAATATGTATACGAGCTGAAGCTTGACCCTGAAACTATCCCGAAACCTGGGGATAATGAGGTCGAGGAATTCAAGTTGCTGTCGATTCCGGAGGTGCAGGCGGCTTTGGCGCGCGGCGAGTTCAAGCCCAATTGTGCTAATATCATGATTGATTTCTTTGTGAGGCATGGGCTGCTGACGCCAGAGAATGAGCCGGATTTCTTGCAGATTATTGCTAGATTGCATCGTCGCTTAGAATACCCGACTGCTTCGCATTGCGCGAGGTAGATTATTTGTTTGATTGCTTGAGACATGCCAGATAGGACGAACTAAGGTATATCAAATCAACTTCAATCGTGTAGGTTCCTTCCGCATTTGCACAGCCAAAGCAATTATTGCAAGACTATAAAAAGATTCGATAGAAGCACGGTCACAACCGCACTGACATCGACTGTTGTAAGGCGAAGAAGATGAAAATGAGCTGCCAAAGTCAGATCTGTTGGGTTTTGAGTCCTGATCGCAAAGCCAGGAAAGGGATACGCACACTGGGCGGCTGCCAGCAATTACAGCTCTATGCAGAGTCAACCCGCCAGGAGACGCAATTTCGTTATCGAACTGTCAATGTTCATCTCGTCGATCCCATGAAAATCATGATTGTTATGATAATCTATTGGTATTCCCAAATCAAAATGCAAAGAACGCCTGCGCTGCACCCCATAAGAACGATATGAACATCGGTCCGGCTTAAATACACCGACTTTTCCCCCATTCGGGCTTTGCCTCAAGATCAATCCAAGATCCATCTCATCCTATGCCAAGGTCGTAAGCAAAAAAAGAGAGTTCCAACAATCGTAAGCTTATTTCTTAAGCAGCAAGTACACGTGATCGATTCTCAACGGAGCGAGCTTTTTGTAGGGACCTTCCAGGTAGAGCAGAAGACCTCCAAAGGACACAAAGACAGCCCTAGAAATGTAGACGTTAGTTTCCGCAAGAGCCAACACACCAGTAACGAAACTCACATGGTATCCTTAGTGGCACCCTCCTCGAAGCGGTACACCTTGCCGTGGCAAACATAATCGTAGTCATCCGCTAGGGTCTGATCACCCATGCTGACCTCCCTCCAGCTGGCGCGGGTGTCCTCCTTGCCGTCAAGAGAGAGAGTCGAGGCCAGAGCGAGGGACAGCGACTCGCCGACCGCGCATGGGTACAACTCAGTGTTCACATCCAGGGTAAAAGTGAGGGAGGCATCGTTCGAGTTGCAGGTAAGACGGGAGACGCGGTCATACTTCTGGGCGTTGATCGAGGTGATCGTGAAGGTGTCTTCGAAGAGGAGCGGGTCGGACATGATGAAGGTTGCGACCGCTGTGTTTTCGGTCTATGGATGGGGATTTTGGTGGAGCGGGTTATGCGCAGATGATCGCACACAAATTATCGTAGGTTCAAAAGGCCACAATGGCTAGTTGGTGGTCCAAGAGTGGTGAAGAGAAGAGTTGGGGTCGGAGATGGAGAGGTCGATCGGAGAATTGAAGCTTTTTTTTTCTGCCGCCATTTGGTCCCGCCGATAACGATTTCGTTGGTTTGACATCAGCTCGTTATAGCTCTACTAGATTTTTTTCCCTAGATTGAACTTCTCCGCCATGTCCTTTCGCAAGCGAAACATTAGTCTTTCTCCTGGAGTTGACCGCAACGCTGTTCCCAATGCTACTGCACACCCCGCTGCGCCAGTTAGCACGCCGGGCATTCGCCCCTCCCCCGATGATGGACGGCCAACAACATCGACAGGGACTCGCTCTCTAGATAATCTTCTTGCAGGCCATGCAGGGCTTCCAATGGGAAAAATTTTGTTGGTTGAAGAAAACGGAACTACGGATTTTGCGGGCGCATTGCTGCGTTACTATGCGGCTGAGGGCGTTATCCAAGAGCAGAAGGTTCATGTGGTTGGAGTGCCAGAACAATGGGGCCGAAGTTTGCCTGGTCTGATCGGCTCGGTGGAATCCCTGGACGAGAAGAGATCCGACAGGCGCAAGGATGATCGCATGAAAATTGCATGGCGATACGAGCGATTGGGCGAGTTTGGGGCAGTCGCTGGTTCGCGGGATGGTGAGGATTGGAACAAACATTGCTTCTAGCTTCAATATGCTGATCAATATAGCCCCTAATAATCACGGGGAACAAGATGCTGCAGCAAAAGAAGCGCCCGCTTTCTGTCATGCCTTCGATCTCACGAAACGTCTCACCCATCCGTCTATCACAAACATGTCCTTCATCCCACTTATGCCCTCAAGAGAGTCACCATTCCTCGCTATCCTTAGACGACTCCAGACCGAAATCACGTCCAGCGCCAATACAATCCACCGTATCGTCATTCCTTCTCTGCTCAACCCCACAATTTACCCGCCGAACGCCTGCCAACCCGAACATGTGCTCCAGTTCTTCCACGCTCTAAAGGCGCTGATGAGTGCGCACGGCACCCGCGTGACCGCAATGATCACCATGCCTCTGTCTCTCTACCCCCGCTCATCGGGGCTGGTTCGCTGGATCGAACTACTCAGCGATGGCGTCATTGAGCTCTGTCCCTTCCCGCACTCTGCGGATGCCATGGCTACCTCGGGAGCGGCGACCTCACAAGAAGAGCCACCGCAGGGTATGCTTAAGACACATCGGCTCCCAGTATTGCATGAGCGTGGTGGTGGAAGTGACCAGAATGTTGGACAGGATTGGGCGTTTATTCTGAGCCGCCGGCGATTCGAGATTAAACCGTTCAGTCTGCCACCAGCAGAAGGAGACACAGAAGCGCAAGAAGCGTCCGCTCCAGGCGGAATGCCGAAGAAATCTGATCTCGAATTCTGAGACTTTTTATGATTGGTGTGATTCCCTAGACTTAATCGTCCTCCTCGAAGTGTCGTTGGGTCCCTGGTTCTGCTAGCATATCGTCCATCTCGATCTGCTCGGACATAGCAGGACCAGAATTGGCCATTGTGCGGAGATAGCTCGCTCCATATCCGTCCAATACTGGTCGCACAGAACGGAGGCGATTCCCCAAGCAGGATGAAGCTGCAAGCCATGCTGTTCGTGTTAGTAATGCGATCGGGACTAAGAAAGGACGCTGCGCGATACTGACCAACAAAGAGTATCAGGGGTGCAAAGAATACCAGGAATATCAGCAGTAAAAAACCCATGATGCCTTAGTATAGAATAAAATACTCAACGAATGCCAATGAAGATGATGATAAACACAACAGCGATGCTCAGCAGTTCGCTTGCCAAGATGACTATTCCTAAATAGGACTAGCGTGTAAGCCCGGCTTTTCCTTTTCTTCTTTTTTTTGGCCGTTCGTTTCTTCTCTTCTGCAATCAACCCTGGCTTTGCTGGTCAAAACCAAAGACATCTCCGGGAGTTTGATCATGTTCTCGACACTTTGTTAATTCCCTAATGGTAAGCTTCATCCTCGTCTCTCCCACACCCCCAACTCGCATGATTATTTAACTACAATCTGTCAATCCCCTGAAGCTCTTTGATACGTCACTGAGTGCTTGCTGAGAAACGTACTGGAAAATGAATCGCGATACCCCAATTTACCTTGCTGGCAACCTGTATCTTTACATATTGGACAAGCGCTAACTGTCCTTGCCACAGAATCATTGAAAATTTTCCACAAATCTCAAAATCAGAAAGAAAAAAATATGGATTTCCAACCAGACCTTCCTATCCCGATCTCCTATGTATCCGGTAGATACCTGTTGTTCTCAATTGACGCCGTGACATACCTGCGACGTGAGCATCACATATGCGGTGTGCTTATTGGGACGCTGCCTCAGATCCCTCAGCAGAATGTCTTCCTGGGTCTCCCTCTGCAGCTGATGCCAGAAGAGGCACGGCTCTTAGTGGATAAGGGTGTAGCTTGCATCGTAGACGAAGCCAAGGCACACGACGGCATGAACACCCTCTTAGAAGAGGATCGAAGACGGTACCTCCGCGACCTCGAATCCCAAGGCCAGCATATCTCGCGCATCCAATTGGATCGCAAAGAGCGCAACCGGGAGCAGACATTGAAAAAATTAGAAGAAAAGAAAGCAAAGGCGAAGGCCAAAGCCAGTGCTGCTGCCGCCCAGACACCTACGGCTCCTGAGGAGGCCACTTCCACCCCGTCGCCGAAGAACGCTGCTATCGTTGACATCTTCAACGCAGAGGATCGCTCATCGTCTCCATCGACCGCCTCGACAAGCACACTTCCTCAGGGCGCAACGGTTATTACCCCGGCAACATCTTACCCGCCCCTTCTCACGCCTCCACCATCGAGCCATCTTCCAGCACCCGCGGTGCCACCCTCCTATCCTCTCTTCGCCCACCTCCACTCCAAAGGATACTTTCTCTCCCCCGGCCTGCGCTTCGGGTGCCAGTACACGGCTTACCCGGGTGACCCGTTGCGCTTCCACTCGCACTTCCTCGTGGTGTCCTACGACTGGGACCAACATATTGATCTGATGGATCTCGTTGTCGGCGGCAGATTGGGGACTGGTGTGAAGAAGGGCTTTTTGATCGGCGGAGCACAGAAAGGAATCGATGAGGTGGATTCGGAGGCTGATCGTGTGAATACTGTGCGGGCTTTCAGTCTTGAATGGGCTGGAATGTGAGGGATGAAGGACGTGAAGGGTTTCATACCCTTCATTTGTTTTTATTCCCCATCCACCAGGCTTATGGCTTTGGTTTTTCACTTGCAAGGATTCATTGGCTCATGCGCCACGCTGCCGGGTCGCCCTTGCCTGTCCCCGGGTACCTGGAACCAGGTGCCCGAATTTCTACCGTGCCTGGTCTCATTGAGCCTAGGGAAGAAATACGTCTATTGGCGATTTGGACCATCACCGATCATAAAGATACAGATGGTATCCTCACTCCAAAGGAGGTCTACCATGCCTCCGCCTTCTAGCGACTCAGGTCGGAGGCTTGGAAAGGCAAACAGCATGTGGTTAAGAAGGGTCGTCATGTCTCTGGTCTACCCATGCGTTCCCCGACTCAATAGCATGTCATACGACCACGATCACCAAAAACGTTCATCAAATGACGTCTACACTTTACAGTGATTTTCCTGGTAAATCTGTAGTATCATGTCACAGTTATGAATGATATGCTTCGCCTGTTGAAGACATCTAGCCAACCCATCGGGGATAAAGGGTAAAATTCCACCATAACCAAAATCATTCCAATTGACCGTCTTTTCGGGTCACTTCATGAATTCGAGCTGAAACTTCGTGTTCGGTGCTCTTTCCTTTGTTGTCTGAATTATGTATGCCTTTCCGCGTTTGGGTGCCACGTTGCGCACTGTGATATCATGCAGTGGGCATGATGAAAGAAGAACGAGTCACCGGCATGCCTCCTCAGATTATGACTGAAGCTCGAATCTCAAAGACTCTCAGCAGTATCAGCTTTTATGGCAGGAGCGCACCTGCACCGCTCGAATCCGCTTCACAGTTAAGCAGTGAATTCCGTCGGTAGTAAATTGGGAAGAACTGTAAAATGGCCGCCGTCTCAAATGTAATCGATGTTCCTCCACTTGAATTTCTTATTGGCTCTGTCCACAGGCCGATTCTCGAACTGGTTTCCATGTAGCTCGAAAACCAACGGCATAGGAGCTTTTACATCAGACTGAGTCTGCTGATCCTTCGCGCCCTCGGACGGCGTTGGCACAGGCACTGTGAACCGGAAGATAGTGTGCTCCTTCGGTATAGCTGTAGAAACAAAACAAAGTCAGCATGATCCCAGTATCGCACCTCCCACTCCAAAAATCAAACTCACTCTTCATCTCGTCCTTCTCGGTAACAATGACGAACGTAAACTTCGTATCCCGCACCACAATCCCCTTAGCACCAACCCTCCCAGTACATCGACTCCTGACAACCTCGACCGCAGCCCCATGGTAATCCGCACTGACAAGCTTGCTTCCATGCGACGCCGGCGAAACATGGCCATGTGCTCCAGCCTTCACATCCAGGATCTCCTGCATATACCCGACCCACAGCTCATGTAGGCCCTTGAAAATGGCGTATTTGCATTCTTCCTTGGGTAGGTTGTACAGTCCTGACTTGCGCTTTTCGCGCGCTGACAGCGATTGTGGCTTCTGGTGTCGGAGAAAGTATTCTTTCTTGCGTAGACGCTCGAGACGACGCCGGGAGCGGTTATCGGATGCTGAGGGGGAGGTTGCGCGGAGGAAGAGTGGTTTCTGTTTGATGCGCTCGGTGAATTGTTGCGTTGCGCTGTCTGGGGAATGGGCGCGTGAGAGAAGGGTGTGCGCGATGTGCGTTTTTGGGGCTGGGGAAGAAGTCATTTTGTGTTATCTTGGATGTTGGTGTGGCTCTAGGGGATGGTGGACGCGAAAGTGGTTGTTGGAGGTTGGAGAAAAATTATTTGATGTCACAACTCCGATAAGATAACGCAGGTCATGTATAGATCGAAGGTATCGAAGGTATAAACAACCACTTTATTCACATTATTAGAATGATTCAAGTCTATTTTTCATCAGATTATCCTCGGATATTGGAATATCTCAGTGATTAGGTTTCGATCGTCCCTCGGCTCTTTGATACTTCCCCGCATAAATCATCTTTGAGGTGATATATATTTCTCACTATTTTAATACTGACACAATATCTGCGCGCACCTATCGAGATAATTATTGTCTAATATTGACTCCCTCAAATCTGCTTATATCAACATGCAGTTTCAGATCGATCAAAAGGACATCCCCAGCAACTTCCCAGGGATTCCAGCCTTCCCAGATGACGTCTCTACAGCACCCCTTCTTCGACTATCGTCGGAAAAGCTGTTAGCAGGTGACCATACTGAGCAAGAGAGACTGTTTCAAGTATCTACAGACATTGGGTTCTTTTATCTCGATTTATCAGACTCAAAGAGAGGCTTATCACTCCTCGGTGATGCAGACAATTTGTTCCAAGTTGGCAAGAGACTATTTGAGCTGAGTCTCGAGGAGAAAAAACAGTATGATTTCAGCGCACAGAATTCTTACTTTGGTTACAAAGCGCAGGGAGCTATGGTGGTTGACAGGCAGGGGAATCCGGACCGGAACGAGTTCTACAATGTACGTCAGCACCGAACACATCCACCTGGACGTTCACGGTAGCTGACACAACTATCCATAGGTTTCCAAAGACGATATTTTGGGCACCAGTGATCCGCTACCCGCTCCAGAGACCCTGCATAAAAACCGAGCGCGACTGGGATCATTCATGCAAGGCTCACATGCAATCGTAACCCTAATTCTGGACACCCTGAACGATAAACTTGCCCTACCAAAGAACACGCTATCCAATATGCACCGACTGCGAGCTGTAAGCGGTGACCAGGTCCGATTCATCAAAGCCCCTCCACAGCCATTAGACGACAGGCGTACCGCGCTAGGCCAGCATACCGACTTTGGAAGCGTGACGGTGCTTTTCAACCGACTGGGAGGACTACAAGTGCTACCGCCCGGTGCCGATGCCGAATGGGTTTATGTCAGACCGCTTCCTGGTCATGCTATTGTCAACTTCGGGGATGCAATGGTCAAGTTTACGAATGGGCTGTTTCGGTCTAACATTCACCGGGTCGTGGCGCCACCGGGGCTCCAGGCTGAGTCGACGCGGTACAGTCTCGTATACTTTGCACGTCCCGAGGATAGTGTGATGTTGCGTCGGTTGGAGGAATCTAATCGGATTCCTGTTATGGAGGATGGTCAGACTGAAGAGGTGATCAATAGCAAGGACTGGATTATTCGGCGGGCTCTGGGTCGTCGGGTGGACCGTGTTGATGATCTTGACTATGAGAAGTCTGCAGGGACGGAGCAGCTGAGTCGGAGGATCAAGGCTTAGCATTGTTCTAGGTTGTTTTGAGAATAGTATGGAGCTTGAAATAGATTACGCTTTGCAAGTAATACGTCAATGTCGGCACTTAAACAAAAGGGGATAGCCATGTGATGTATAGCCATGGGAGAGAGCATATATAGAACAGTCTAGTCATTCGATGGTCTTACAACTATACGAAAACGGCGAGGCCTATGACTTCGCCCTCACGTTTTCCTAATCGAGAAGGTACATGATCGTGAGTATTGTTTCCCCTTGAAAATATGTTACACCCCTGAAATTCATCAATCTTACCCGTGGACATCAATATATATTACCAATAAAA